GGTCTGATGGCTTCCTCGGCGAGATCTGAGGAGGAGGGGGAGGGAGATGTGGGATCTCTTTTGCCCTAGGGATTTGGTAGTGGGAAGAAAGCTGTGATTTGGAGATCGATGGCTCTGATACCAGTGAAAGAACGAGAGAGATTGATTTTGCGGGTCTGATGGCTTCCTCGGCGAGATCTGAGGAGGAGGGGGAGGGAGATGTGGGATCTCTTTTGCCCTAGGGATTTGGTAGTGGGAAGAAAGCTGTGATTTGGAGATCGATGGCTCTGATACCAGTGAAAGAACGAGAGAGATTGATTTTGGGGACTCCGGTGGAGATTTACTCAGTTGTTATGTTCAGAGGTGAGGTAATCCTCTCTATTTATAGGCATTCTTTCCCCCTCTCCGTCCCCTAATAGCTGCCTTATTTTCCTCCGCTATCTGCGTTCTCCTCAGATTTCTCCGTAACGCCTGATCTGCTGCCTTATTTTCCTCCGCTATCTGCGTTCTCCTCAGATTTCTCCGTAACGCCTGATCTTGATTAGAGAATATCCCACAGAATATGAGATATTCCCTAACAACCAGATCACATGATAACGGTTGGGTAACAATTTGGCCCATGAGGCCAAAAACCCACTTACAGGGGGGGGGGAGCTTAGAAGCAAAGCGAACTCTGTACGCCTATAACACGGATAGGAGGCAGAGAGCTACAGGAGATAGAGAGAGAGAGAGAGTGTGTGTGAGAGAGAGACAGAAATTAGATTCAATGCCATTGAAATGTTTGGGCAGCTTCCATCTCTCCCCTCTCTCTGTCCATCTCTATCTTTCCTTAATTATTAACATTGTGGTAATTAGCTTAGCTTCCATCATCAAATATAAAGTAGTTTACCATATTTCTTTTCTTTTTTATATCTTGGGTTAATTAATTAATTGTGGATAGAAACCCTGTACTATCACCCAATTGTGGATGGATCCCTCGATTGATTTGTTTTACTCTTTTACCTTCAGAGAAAAAGAAAATTGTCCACCCGCAATAATAGAACTACAGAGTCTTATCCGCATTTCGAGTGATAGTAAAAAAGGTCCATTCGTCGTTGCTCTTTTTCCTAAGCAAGCTAATGATCCAGGGCCACTACCAAAAAATGAGGCAACCTAGACAGGAAATTTCCGTCTAGGAAAATCAGATTTCCGTCTAGGATGATTATCCTAAACGAAATTCCGTCTACAATGCGCGTCTAGTATGTTTCCGTCTAGAATGTAGTATTCTAGACGAAATTCCGTCTAGGATACTAGACGAAAATTCCGTCTAGGATACATCCTAGACGGAATATTCTAGACGGAACTAAAAACCGTCTAGAATAATCCTAGACGGAACATCCTAGACGGAAATTCCGTCTTGGATGATTTTATTCGAATCACCACCAAGTTTGTTCATTGCATCTCTCATGCTGGCTAGATAAACAACAGTTGGAACACCTGTGAAATCCTGACAGAGAGTAAAAAGCCTATTATCATTGCATATATAGCCAACTATTAAACAATGAATTAAACTTAAATCACTATACATACAAATCCATCTAGTTTAGTTCTAAATGAAAAACTGAAACAAATTATTGGCCAAGAACAAGTCTGGGTATTCTCAAATCACAAAATTAAATAGCCCATATAAAGTTTCAGAGAACAAAATGTTACACTTGAATTGTATTACAAGGAATGAAGTATAAAATTTTCTACATACCATCAAAAAGTAAATTACAAAATTTAGTTTTTCTTCCTGCTTATAAACACCGACTGTTCTCAATAAAGAATCAAGTAAAAAAGAAGAAAATTAAAAGCAAGACCTGCAACAGGACTCTTGCAGGCTTAAATGGGATCTCGACTTTTATAAATTATTTGTAAGACACATAATGAAATATTGTTTGAATTACTGGAAAACCATATAAGGTTACTTGCTAAATGAGTACTAAGTTTGGACTGTCAAAATGATCCAAGTTAATGTGTTCATTGAGGATAACATGAAGTTCCTGTTTCATTGATGCATATTGTCGAACAGAAAGTGTGCTACATGTGATCTGTCAAATAAAAATACAACCAGGAAGCAAACCAATAATATTTTCTGCAGTCCCCACTTAATTCATATAAATTGTAAAAATCAACTCAATCCTTGAACATCTAAGCTCACTCATACGCAAACCAGTTATCCAATATAAATTCCTTGTAGAAGCAAATGAAAGTTCACTTAAATAAACATAGAATACATAAATTTACAAAGAAATACCCAAATCCTAAAAAGAAATATTAATTAAAATTCTATATAAAAGTTTGTTTCTTTTATAGAATGTTATTTTGAAGGAAAAAGTGTTCGTCATCAGATAGGAGCGAAAGACTAGAAAAATATTAATCAAAATCTCATTAGAGATTTTTCATTTAAACTATGCACAGATCATCACTTGACCATTTGATTACATAAAATTAAAACAAAATAATTAGAGGTCTCAGAAAGAAGGCAGCATGGAAATAATCATGAAATCAGATTAAAAGTATAACATCCAATTCCTTCATCAAAGACGCCACATAAAAAAAAAGTTCTCATTTTCAAGAAATAAGTAAACATAACAAAAGCAACAAAAAAGGCCTCATATAGAAGATTAGAATTCGTCAATACAGATGATCTTCAGACATATGATTGTCATTATTAATCATTTAATCATTGGCCTATAAATAGCTTAAAATAGGAATTTAGCCACACGATAAAATAGGAAGACTTGGTTGGGAGCAAGAAAATCAAACTTTTGGAAGACTATGAACAGCGCGGTGCTGCCGAATTCCGACCTCCGCTTCAGGTCCCCGCGCTGCTGTCGAACTCCGACCGGAACAACGCGGCGATCGAGTCGACGACGACGAGCTTAGCGGAGCCGAGGAGGGAGGAGGACTCGGCGCGGGCGAGGAGGGAGAGGAGGTCGGCGGGGGAGTGGGCCCTGGCGACGAGGATGCGGTCGAGGGGGTTGGGGCCTGAGTGGGGCCGGGAGAGGGAGAGGGAGAGGAGGCTGCGGAGGGGAAGGGGAACTGGTAGTGGATGAAGAGGGAGGGGGAGAAATTCGGGAATGAAATTTGGGAATCACGAAATTTGCGAATGAAATGCAGCGATTGGGGATTTTATTTCAGAGTTAAATAATTTAGGCGGGGGAACGAAAATTGGGGGTGAAATTTTGGGGGGAAGGGTACCAACCATCCTAGACGGAAATTTTCTGTCTAGGATGTTTTCTAGACGGAAATTTTCGTCTAGGATGCTCGCTCTAATTAAAAAAATAAAAAAAAAATATTAAAACCGTCTACTTTGTTATTCTAGACGGAAATTTCCCTCTAGAATAGTTTTTTCTAGACAGACTATTCTAGACGGAAATTTTCCGTCTAGTTTAATAGCAAACTAGACAGAAAGTTTTCCATCTAGAATATTCCGTCTAGGATGTATGTTTTTCTACTAGTGGGCATAACCTATGTAACTGACAGAAATTTTAGGCAAAAAATATGGAACTACCTGCAAAGCCTGGACCAACTGCGTCGAACGTCTGGAGCTGCTCAGTCTGATGAAGGGAAGCTTTCTCCTCTTTGGTAGTTGGTTAATTATTTTTCCGAGTGTCAGGAGTCGGGTGATTTCCTCAAACAGCGCCTCATTCAATGAGGCAAAGAGTTCCAAATCCTTCACAAGGATGTCAGGTGCGGTTGCCCGATCATGTCTACAAGGAGAATTTCATTAAATGTTTCCTTCATATAAAATTTGACAACACTAGACGACATGGAGAGAAACACACTTATCAAGCGCGTTGAGGCACTTTAGTTTCCGAATTTCAAGAAAACTATGCACTGAATGCCGGTTGTCATCAGCCTTAGTAAAACCAAGAAGGTCATTTTCGACCTCATCCCAGTTCCTATTTTTGACTTCATCCTCAAAATAATTCATATTGAAGTAGAATCCTGACTCTTGCTCAAGCCAAAGGTTCCAAAAAAAGAAAAAGAAAAAAGAACTATAAATTAATAACAAAATAAAAAACACAAAACTTAACCATATTACAGCAAAAAGATCAAACTCTAACAGTTATGTACAGTCTCCTTCAGGGCCCGTTTGTTTGCAAAAATTGGAGGGGGAAAGCAGGGGAAAGCCTGCAAAATCGCCCCAAATTGGGGCGATTTTGCAAGAAAGCCTGCAAAAGTTCTGACTTTTTCAGAACTTTTGCAGGCTTTCCCCTGCTTTCCCCCTCTAACTTTTGCATCCAAACGGGCCCTCAACTTCTCCTCATCAACGAACTGCAAGATCACGAATTAAATTCCCTGCTAAGAGAGGACAACATCGTTTCCACATCCGAACCCTAAATCACTCAAAAATCAGACCCTCCCTAAAAAATGCAATAAAGCACAAAGTTTCCATAAAAGGAAACAATTCAGCTCGTCAGCGCATTCTGAATCCAGAAACCCTAAACTCCAGAGTTCCCGCCTCTGAATCTACTAAGTACTAATATTGGGTTCTGAGCAATCAGAAATGTGGAATCTCTATAACAAAAGCAAGAAGCTGAGAATTTATGCAAAAAAGCAAGAAGTTACGGATAAAAAATAACAAATGCCCTTATAATCAGTTCTCCATACTCTGAGTACACACAAACATTTGGTGGAAACCCAGATATCGGTAAGGTCGCCACGCGTAGTGAACATCTGAAATAATTGAATGGCTATGTTGCAAGATGTTTAACTCAATTGTGTAACTGTGCTAAGTTCTTACTGTAATATAATTGAATGACTATGAGATTCATCAATCTGCTATTTGGTTATGACATAAGATTTGTACTACTGTTTTTGTTTCCAATTCAAACATGCAACTACTAACACTATTTCTCTATACAATCCTTAGTGCTTTGGTTAACGAACATTAAAAATATACTGTAGTCATACCCCAAAAATTCGTGGATGCGTCCCTTGCCAACCCAATTGAAAGTCATTGTTCAAATAGATTCACTATATGGTATCCGGAAGAAAGTAGGGATCCAATACCAGCCCAAGGAAATGTATATATGAGAAGCTGTAGATCAAGCAGAATACACAATGCCGCCGAAGATGTATACTGAACAAAACAAATCTAATTAGAACTTTACCGCTAAACAATATTCCTTCTTATTAGAGTTCTTGGATGTGGAGTATGAGCCTCAAACAAACATGAACATGAGATAATAGATGATACGTTTTTATTCCTACATTATCCTGTAATCAATAGGAAACATTGAAAAGGGCCGAATTCTGAATGAGAAGAAAGAAGATGAAGGAAATTTACTTGAGAGTAGACAGAATCACAAAACCATAGCTCCGATCTCCTACTGGAAGTTTAACCTGATTGGCCGAACATCCAAATTTGAACATGCAACAAAGGCTAGCTAGAAGCAAAACTGTAATCCAATGCTTCCGAATTCTCAAAGCATAACCGAGACAACATTTTAGCTCCGATCTTCTCCTGGCAATCAAGAAGAAACACCACATGAGAATAAAATAAAAAAAAGTCTCGCGGTTAGATAAGTGACCAGAAGCTAAAAATTGAAAGAGAACTCCAATTCTAGGATTTTATACGAGACCTGATCATATTCGGCTTAGCCTAGACAGTAGAGTTAAATTAATAACAGATGCCCACATGCCGCAACAAAGCTTTTCCTGTAATCAGTAGATAATATTGAAAAGAGCTAAAATATGACCGGAAAAAGAAAAAAAAAAGAGATTTTACTTGCGAGGAGACAAGACAGCAGAACCCTAGCAACAACCAAAACCATAATGCGTTGCCTCTCAGATCTCGAGGTATAATCGAGCCGCATTTAGCTCTGATCTTCTCCTGTTAAATTAACATTGGAATTTAGAATAGCGGTTGAAGAGAGAAAATTGAAAAAGAACCCTAATTCTATGCCTTCGACACTCAAAATACCTAAACTTGGCCCGCAAACCCAGAATTACAATCAAACCGAAATTGAAAAGAAACCCTAACTACCACCACCATTTTGGCTCCAAAATCTCGAAGAATCAAGCCATATTTAGCTCTGATTTCCCCTGGCAAAACATCATTATTTCGATAAGCAATTGAGAAGAGAAAATTCAAAACAAACCCTGATTCGATCATTTAATAATAAAATAAACAAATTTTACCTGATCACCGGCCCCAGAATCTCGAAGAATCAAGCAAGAGACAGTTTAGCTCCGATCTTCTCCTGGTAAAGCTTCGAAATTTAGAAAAGCGATTGAGAAAAGAAAATTGAAAACAAACCCTAAAATTACCTGGTTTTTGACTCAAAAATCGAACCCTAGCCCTAGACTCATCATCCTTATTTTTTTGAAACGGAGAGAGAGAGAGAGAGAGAGAGAGAGGTTGTTGATTCTGGATGAAGAGCTGGCGGGAGAATGCATCGTACATTTATCGACACTGGCTTCCAGCGTGGGGATGACGCAACGCGGACAGAATAAAAAAAATATAAAATAAAATAAAAACGCCTAAAATGCTTTAAGTTTAGGGAATTTTTTAAAAATAGACCACTTTTATTAAATATTTAGTAAAATAGACTATTTTATTAAATATTTTGTAAAATAGATCTTGTTTTGGCCAATAGGCTAAAAATAGGTCGATTTTGAAAAACAATGCTCAGAAAACATACGGGACTACTAATCCCGTATGTTTTCTTAGCCTTGTTTTTCAAAATGGTGGTGATTAAGTTGGCTCTAAACATACGAAACTAGTAGTCTCGTATGTTTTCTGAGCCCTATTTTTCAAAATCAATATTTTTTGGTCTATTGGTCAAAAAGAGGTTTATTTTGCTAAATATTTAGTAAAGTGATCTATTTTGCTAATATTTAGCAAAAATGGTCTATTTTAAAAAACTCGCCTTAAGTTTATGGTCCAATTCTTAATGGGCCGACTATTGTCATGAACTGTCGGGCTGGACGGGGGTTTGATGATTAACTATACATTTAAATAAATACTTTTTTTTTTCTTAAATATACATTTTAAATAGGTCCTCCAAGTCGTACAAGTTGCCTTAAATATGTCGCTTATTTTTCGTTGGTTATTGGATGCAGTTGAGAGGGTGGAGGATGTAGAGGGGTTTTGAGAGGGAAGAATGGTTTCTAAAGTGAGTTAGGATAATGTGGGGGCTTCGCGCTAGTCGGAGGTCAGCCGCGGCGCTCTTATCGTCAAAGTGACGAATGACTCACAAGCCCGATGGGCTGTAATCTAAAGCTGTCGTGGTTTGGGTACAAGTTTTAACATTTTAGGGCTCCCAGTTTGACGAAGTTTCTATAGACAGTCAGCACTTCATGATGCTTTGCACTTGTATATACATACTCACTTGCTTTTGGCACCACTTTCTACGTTGAGGTTTCCAAAGTATGCGTATTAATACATTATGTTACACAAACAAGAGTTCGGAATTTTTACATGCAACACCTCATAAGTTAATCTTAAAGATTTTTAACCCTAAATATTTTTTCAACTTAATCGTTAAACATATGCTAATTCTATTTTAAATACACCGAAATTTTATCTTAGAATAGAATATAGTGATTTAAAACTAAAATTAACAAATATTAAGGGCTAAAAAGTTATAAAATTAGCTTGTTATTGTCATGGAAAATTTTAGAGCAAAATTATTTCGTTTGTATAGTATTAAAGCGTAACTTTTAGAGACTTTAGGATATATAAGGAACCCAGACACAAGTATATATAAATGAAAGAAGATAGTAGATACTATTAGATATTTAGGTGCTATTTGTAGAATTTTTATTTTAAAAATGAAAAAAATTTTAAGTGTTATTTTCACGACATTTAAATAAAATTTAAAAAAACAATAATGGGGTGAACGTGGATCTAACACGTGACCTTCAAATCTTCACACTGACGCTCTCCCAACTGAGCTATTTTAGAGCAAAATTCTTTCATTTGTATAGTATTAAAGTGCAATTTTTAGAGACTTTAGCATATATAAGGGCCCCAGACACAATTATATATAAATGAAAGAAGATAGTAGATACTATTATATATTTAGGTGCTTTTTGTAGAATTTTTATTTTAAAAATGAAAATTTTTAAGTGTTATTTTGACGACATTTAAAAAAATTAAAAAAAAAAAAATAACACGATGAACGTGTATCGAAGATCTTCAGTCTGACGCTCTCCCAACTGAGTTATCCCCGCATGTTGCTGTCCGTAGCGACCAAAAATAATAATGATCGATATTTTGGATTATGCAAGCCTAAACAGATTGTCTATACAATTTTGAGAAGATTATGTACGAACTCAAATTTCAATAAACTCATTTCCCAAGCATCTATGGTGAACGCAAAGAAAAGTTAAACTTGACAAAATACCAGACCAGAGCATTTAGAAAAAAAAATGAGAATAAATGACCACAACGTAATTGACGTATTGAAATCATGTCAAAATTGTGGAAGATGAAAACAACTTATGCACGATTTAATCGGATTATTGAAAGAACTTTCACTTCAAGCACTATCTAATCAACCAGATTAGAGATGACATTACACAATGCGTAGATCATACCAATTGAAATTTGCCACAATCAATCTTTTAGAGCGGTAAAAGTGAGGCCTATGGAATCCCTTGATGTTTATCCGCACAAACGAAGGCCTTCTTTATTTTCTCAACTTTCCAATTTCATGAGGCAAATAGATTTATTTGATTGCAATTTGCTTCAAGTTAGCGTAGCATAAAAAAGGGGCTATAACCTTTAAATCAACTAGAATAACAATTTCGACAAATATTAGAATATATAATGCATCGAGAACCCTTTGTTATCTCCAAAGAAAAAAAAATGTAGGAAGGGGATTTTGCAACAATGCACTAGTGTTGATGTCCTGAGACTCAGCCGCAAGATTAGCAGATAATCCCGAATCAGCAACGAGGCTAAAGGTGAATAAGTACGATGTGGGTTCCCTCATCCATTTAGGCCACCGATCCTCTGTTTAAGATGAATGAGCTGCAAGATAGGCGCGTTAGAGGACCAGAGTTGGGTTCTCTGGTAATTCTTCCGATGGTCAAGTCAGTGTTTGAGCTTGAGTGGAGAAGAAACAAATGAATTGTACACGTTCTTAATTTAAGTGCGCAGAAATTGCATACATGTGACCCTGAATAGGGCCCTGAGGATCAGCCTTTGTACCAGTAGGCGATGTGTCCATATTCATACTCGGCTGAGGGGTAGAAGCGTAACTATGGTCGAGTCCAAGCAGACAACTAGATTGGCAGATAGTTTTACAGGTGTCGACTGCATATGCGATGAGTCATCCTTGATTGGATGTGATGACGATTGAGCCTAAACGCGTGAATTGGTTTTGTCCAGCGGACAAAGTAAAAGGCCCACCCGAAGACCCATGTGAGCTTTATATATACCTTCGTGCAATTCTCCTAGGGCTGTGTGCAAGGAACTTTGGTTTTTCGGCTGTGATTTTTTTCTCGGCTTGGTGCAAGTACGAAGTGCAAAGGAGGTTTCGTACAAGGCACAAGGCAGAGTTAATTTGGCTGCGGGAGAAAAGGCTGCAGCAGGAAAAAGTCCTAGGATTTCATGAAGAGAGAAAAAGTATTTGGAGACTGACCTTTTCTTGTAAAGAAAAGCAAGGAGCCTATTTGAGGGTTTAAATTGTGAGAGTTGTAAACCTATTTGTATTCTTTTTCTTTCTAATAGTAGATCTCCCCCTCCTTGCCCCGTGGACGTAGGCAGTTTGTCGAACCACGTAAAATTGATTTGTTTGTGTTTGTGGCCATTGTAATAGTTTTAGGATCCCTCAACAAGTCGGTCCTAGAACTAATGAGAGGAAGAGCTGATATCTCACTTTGTTGAGATATTCGCTTCAGATTTTTGTTTCCTTGGTGAGACAGGAATTCTTATTGATCTCTCTCTCTTGTAGTGCACCAGAAACTCTGCCGAAATTTCCGCTGCGCACAACAAGTGGTATCAGAGCTTAGGCTACGCTTGTGCTATTTGGAGGAGTAGATCGTTTTGGAAGCTCGTCTAGGGTTTTGTTTGGTGATAAAGGTGGGATCTTTTGATAAAGGCTCTATCTTTTCAGTTTTGGATCTATTCTTTGCTCGGTGGTGCGTTGAGAAAGATGTCGGGAAAAGAAGGTGTTTCAGGTGTCGAGGGTGGTGCTTCTGGTGCAAAGACCATTCAGAGTTTGAATATCCACTCTATGAAGATAGATGTGGAGAAATTTAATGGCACAAATAACTGAATATCCACTCTATGAAGATAGATGTGGAGAAATTTAATGGCACAAATAACTTTGGATTATGGAGATGCGAGGTTTTGGATGCGCTGAACGCGCAGAATTTGGAGGATACCTTGGAGTTAGATGGCAAGCCAGATGAGATTGAAGAGAAGGTTTGGAAAAAGATGAATCGAACGGCGTGTGGTGTGATTAGGTCTTGTTTGACTCAAGATCTAAAATATGATGTGATGAATGAGACTTCTGCGAAGAAGATTTGGGAGATTCTCGAAAACAAGTATTTGACCAAGAATGTGGAAAATCGCTTGCATTTTAAGAGGAGACTTTATCGTTTCCAGTTGAAGAAGGGAACCTCAATTAGTGCTCACATGAACACCTACACGAAGCTTCTTGCGGATTTGGCGAATGTGGATGTCATGATTGAAGATGAGGACAAGGCGTTGTTGCTGTTGAGTTCCTTGCCCGGCGAGGAATATGAGACCTTCGTCCTTACTCTGATTAATGGGAAGGCATATCTTTCGTATAGTGAGGTCACTGCTGCACTGGTGAATTATCAGCTTCGGAAGAAGGATAAGGAGACTTCGACTGAGTCGGTAGCAGAGGCGTTGGCCGCAAGAGGGAAGAGTCCAAACCGAAAGAATTGAAAGTCACAGTCTAGAGTAGGACATCTTACAATTGGAAAAGATCAGTGTGTTTGGTGCAAGGAGACTGGTCATTGGAAGAAAGACTGCCCATTCGAATCATCAACCGTTGACTTTTGTTGCAACGCGTTGACTGGCGTTGACCTAGGGTTACGCGTTGACCTAGGTTGACCCTAGGGTTTCGAATCGTCAACTGTTGACTTTTGTTGCAACGCGTTGACTGGCGTTGACCTAGGGTTACGCGGTGACCGGCGTTGACCCTAGGGTTTCGAATCGTCAACTGTTGACTTTTGTTACAACGCATTGACTGGCGTTAACCTAGGGTTACGCGTTGACCGGCGTTGACCCTTAGGGTTTCGAATCATCAACCGTTGACTTTTGTTGGTAATATTTCTGACTCTTCTATTTATTCGCTTTCTATCAGTCCTACATGTAGCTATTCGGAAGAATCCGAGTGGATGTTGGATAGTGGTGCGACCTATCATGCGTGTCCTAGAAGGGAATAGTTCTCCAGTTTTGAGAAGTTTGATAGTGGTGTGGT